ATGGGATAGTGGGGTGAATGACTTCAGAAGTCGAGTCGCTAGGGGTGAACAAGTTCAAAAAAGGTTGAATAGCACTGACTTAGTGTACCATCGCCGAATCATGCCGCTTAAAGAATAAACCCTCCTGTAGCTTCTCTCGCCTCTCCTATGCGCGGATTCATGTAAACGAGAAAAATTTGTGTTCAAGTATATATTCATGTTCAAATATTGATGTTCAAAAGCAAAATGCCCGTGTTTTATTTCAGATTCTTGCGGATGACGCTGAATAGCGAGGAGTTGCCAGCGTCCGACGCTCACGTTATCTTCTCTAGCATGGGGCAGACGGCGAATGGCCGGGGTATCCTGCTACAGTTCCTCGTGGAGTACTGGGACGAGCTAAACGACAAGTAGGCAGATGCAGCTAGATATGGCTCGCTGTCGTGCAGCGCTATGTATACACATGCTAAAAAGCTTTTCCATACACGTGTATATAAAGTATCTGAAATCAAAAATGATATCTCATGTTTGGAAGCTTTTCTGTTTGTAGGACTGCGCCATTTTAAAATAGAGATTTATTTATTGTTTCAAGATGAATTCTCTTTCCTCACTACCAAGATTCATATTCCTAATATAGGTATTTATTTCACTTGCTTTTTTACTTGTTCGAAGAACGTGTTTTTTTTGCGTTCCCGATCATTCAAGGTATTAGTAGGCATGACAGTGAATTTACGGTAATTAATCCCCACACGCACTCGATCTCTGTCCATATTCTGCAGATTGCGACAGACGCCTGCGTAAGGGGGCGTTTTTTTATATTCAAATGAAGACACGTCTATAATGTGCGCGTTATTTGCTGTCCCGCTGGCGTGCTAAAGCTCACGATCGCATTAGCAGCAGGATACGTTCAGCATTTGCTAATCTCTATCCTCCCTCGATACCGCTACCCATGCAAAGGCCAACAACGACTTGCTCGGCTAGTTCTTGGTGGTGAGGGCGGGGGGGTGTGAATTCTCTCACTTTACGATCGATCCGTCATCGATTTTCAGGTTCGGCAGTGACATGCTGGCCGTTGGAACTCTCATCGAGTCTGCGACAAAGTTCGTCCACAGCCAATTTAAATTGAAAGCGGTAAGTGCGCTGCGTAATTGTGCGAGGCTAATGGTGTGCTGCGGCGCGCGCGCAGCAGAGACGACCTTTGGGGAATCATTTGTCCGGCGAATGATTTCCGATGAACCTCCCCGATGCTATACCTGCTTTTCTGCTTCTCTAATCGATGCAGCGCATCACTGCGCTTGCTCGTGTCCTACCAGAATCGTTTTCACATATTTCTTGTCTTCTCTTTTTCCCACCCCATCTCTCTTCCATGATTTCTCTCGCCGCCTTCTCTATCTCTCTCTCTTTCTCATTCCTCACTTCTTACTTATGCTATCTTCCTCGCATCCTCGCTTCTCTCCCTCTCTCTTCCTCTCTCGTTGTTCCTCATTCCTCGCTTTCCTATTTCTCTTCCGCCCTCTTTTCTCTCTCTCTTTCTCTCTCTCTCTCTCTCTCTCTCTCATTTCTCACTTCTTACTTTCGCTATCTCTCTCTCTCTTTCTCATTCTTCGCTTCTCTCTCTCTTTCTCTCGATCGAGCATTCACTCACGCGTAACTGACACGACTGTTCGCGTATAGACACGCAACGGTGATTAAACATTACAAGGACTTTCGCCCGTCGGCAACTAGGAGTACCGAAGACCGCGTTGCTAGCGTCGCCAACAACTGAGCGCCAAGAGCGAATTTCTTACTTTCTCTCCATGCCCTTCTCTTCCTTCGCTCGCTCTTCTTCCTCTCTTCTTACTTTAATTCGCTATATATCTCTCATTCATCGCCTCTTTCGCTCTCTTTCCCCCTCTCTCGCTCTCACTCTATCCCTCTATCTCTCTCTCTCTCTCTCGCCGCCAATACAATAACAGCTGCGTTGCTTGAGTTAATGGAAAGTAGTTTTTCCGGCGACACGAAACCTAGATTAGCACGAGTGAACTGGCTCGCGTCGCGGAGAACAAGTGTATGTAGCTGGCAACATATACAACAAACACGCGCGCGTGCACACACATACACACACAGGCAAACACACACACACACACACACACACACACACACACACACACACACACTATGTGTGTATGTGTGTTTGTGTGTGTGATGCGCGACACGTACACACAGAAGTCTGCTTCTATCTGTGGACAGCCACGCGAAATCATTTAGTGGGAGTTGCACATGCAGGTAAGATCAATAATTGACAACGTGCTCGCTAGAGAGACATTTCGACGGGCGCCGAACTCTAAGCGTCAAAAATACGCCGGAAAAGTCATCAAATATGCATAAAAGCTTCTGAAAGCAGTGTCTCGTCCACGGACCTCGATATGTCCCGCAGGGAAGGCAGCGACACTGTACCAATCAAAGGAACATATGCTATCGCGACACTGCGCATAAATTATTAATGATCGACAACAAAACTTGGCTATTGGTTATATATGAAGAGCAGGAGAGGGGGAAAGCGACAGCGGAATAGATTACCAGAAAGAGAGGGCGTGGGAGAGAGACGAGAGCGAGCGAGAGAAGAGAGAGAGAGAGAGAGAGAGAGAGAGAGAGAGAGAGAGAGAGAAAATAGAGAGAGCGAGAGAGAGAGAGAGAGAGAGAGAGGTAGATTACCAGAAAGAGAGGTGGATAACCAGAAAGTGAGGTGGATAACCAGAAAGAGAGGTGGATAACCAGAAAGAGAGGTAGATACCCAAAAAGAGAGGTAGATAACCAGGAAGAGAAGTAGATAACCAGAAAGAGAGGTAGATAACCAGAAAGAGAGGTGGATAACCAGAAAGTGAGGTGGATAACCAGAAAGAGAGGTGGCTAACCAGAAAGAGAGGTGGATAACCAGAAAGTGAGGT